CAAAGCCACAGCCACACAGCTGTGCACACCCCCCGCCCTCAGGACAGAGCGGTGTGGGGCTGCACACCCGCGGGCACACAACCGGGCGGCTGACCTGCTGCACACAGGCCCGCAGGGGCCGTGCCGAGAGATGCACACGCATGGACACACGTGTGGGCACACACAGGCGTGAGTACACACACACACGGACACACGTGGACAGACACACTGAGTCTTATTTTCTGTGACCTGGGTGGCCTGGCCTGCTCAGCCTCACCCCCCAGCAGAAGCGCAGCTGGTGAGGGGTCCTGGGATGACGGCTTTGTGTTTTCGTGCTGGGTGCCTGTGGGGGGGTGGGGGGGTGCAGAGCTGGAGCCCCCGGCACTGTGTCCGGTCCCAGCCAGTATGGGAACCGCCTTCCCTTGGACTTCCCCCTGCAGGTCTGGGGCCGGGCCCCCTGCCCCTGCCCCAGCCCCCACCTCAAGCTGGGGTTTAGGAGTGAAACTCAAGCCCCTGTTTGCTTCGTGACACTTAACTCAGCACAGGGGCACTTTGAAAGTGCCTTTGGGTGGCGGGGGCGCCAGGAGCCTGTCTAACAACCCTCTCTAAGCCCCTTTTCTAAAAAGCAGGAAATCGGGTTGGGCCAAAGGTAAACACATTCCAACCTGGCGGTCCCCAGCTCGGAGGAGGGCTCTGTGGGGCGGGGCGGGCGGCCGGTTTTCCCAGCCCAGGGCGAGGCTGGGGCTCAGGGCCTGTTTGCAGAGCCAGGCCTTGGCCTGTGGCTTCTTGCCCCCACCTGCCTGCAGCCCCACAGGCCGCCCCGCGCCTCTCTGGGCCCCTCCAGGCTCCCTCCTGCTGGCACTGCCTGGAACCAGCCCTAAAGCAGAAAATGCACAGCACACCCGGTGGAGACCCTCCCCCGTGTGTTCGAAGGGGGCAGAACTGGGGGCGCACGGGGGCCTCAGATTCCCCCCGGTGGGTGTGGGAGCGGCCGCCCCGCCCACCTACATTCCAACCCAGATGCACGTGTTCCCGAAAGGGCCTCAGGCCCCCCAGGTGGAGCCCCATAGTGGAAGTGGGGGCCAGGAGAGGCCACGGCCCCCCACCCCAGGAACAGGCTGCTGAGCCCGGGACCCTGAGGGCTGCGCACCCTTTCCTGGGGCCCCCATTCCCACGGAAGCGGGCGGTCCCGTGCTCCCAGGAGGGGCTTCCAGGGCAGCCCCCCTCTCCCTGTGCCACACGGCCGTTCCCGCACCCCGGCAGCTGCTTTCATCTCTGAGGCCCGACTCTGCAGGGCTCCGGCGGGGCGGATGTTTGTAATAAAGGCCCTTTACAGCCCCGGCTCTTGACGGCTAATGGATGGGTCCCTTTGCCCCCGGCAGAGCCCACTTGGGTGAGCCCAGGAGCACTGCCTGGCGCCTATGAGGGCCTCCAGGGGACGGTGGGAGACCCCCGAGGGCGCCCGCCGAGAGGCCCCGCAGAAGAGCCTCTGCCCAGAGGCTCACAGCACCCCCGGATGTCCCACGTCCCCCGCAACGTGGGGCGGAGGGCGGGGCCGAGGGGGCCGACACGTGGGAATGTGGGGACTCGGGGTGGGTTTCTGGTCTTTATCTGCGACGAGGCATTTCCTGACTCTGAGCGCGGGGAGGGGCCCAGGACTCCAGGCTCCCTCTCGACAGCTGCTTCCTCATGTCAGTGTGCGCCGCGGGGCCCAGGGGCCCGGAGGCAGGGGGCTCAGAGGCAGAGGGGTGCCGCCCGGCCCAGGGGTACCCACCCCGGCTGCTGTCCTGTATGGGGACACCTACGACCCTGGGTGGGGGCTGCAGCTGTGACCCCGAGGCGGCGGTGGCACGTCCCAGACCCCTCACCTACCTTGCCCACCCAGCGATCTCCTCGTCCCTCAACTCTGCTCTGGTCACCATGGCCCCAGCCCCTACCCCTTCCCACCCCCTTCGCCTCTGCTGGGCTGTCACCTGGCTACTGAGCTCGGCCGGCTCCCCCCTCACTGAGACATCAGACGCTCACGTCCGTTGTGCGTTGCCTGCCCCCCCCGCCCCAGCAGAGGGTGAGCGGGAAGGAGAGGCCTGGCCCTGGCCCAAGCCCACACGCCGCTGGCCTGGGCTGTGGGTTCCCCCCACCCACATCAAGCCCCCTCCCTAGGATGAGTATCAATGACGCTCTGTGCCAGGCCTTTAGGGTCTGGGGTCCGGGGAGCCCTCTGTGTGGCAGGATTAAGCTCAGCGGGACTTCAGTGGGGCCCAACCCCTCTCTCATGGCTGAGAGGTTCCTGCAACACCTCCACCCCCAGCCCCCCTTCTCTGCAGGGACCCCTGCTCCCACAGCCTCCCTGCCCAGTCCCCCCCGCCATGGCCCTGTGCCACGCGTCAGGCCCCTGCTCATGTCATGTCATAGAC